TATGTTCTCTATTCCCAGGAGTGCCATTTATCCCGTTTAACATTTTATAATATTTATACAGCTGTAGGCATTTAAGCTTTGCTCTTGCACAAATAGCTACTGACAGCAGAAGAAGTCACACATTTGCTGCATTGCTATGGTGTAAAACTAAACTGTAACTTCCCCAATATTGCTTTTGGGAATGAGGTTTTTCTCCTGTTGCCTACTAGTTTCAGATCCCTGCAGACTAAAGGGGAAACCCAGAGGGAGAGCAGAGACCGGCGCACAGCATGGCACACAGACTAATCCCACAATCTTCCTGTTTCACTTTGGCTCAGATAATGACTTTACACACACGTCTCGTCTGGACCCAGGTGCTTTACAGATGCCTCAAAGTTGCTTACGTGGTCAGGCACAGTTAACACATTAATTGCAACAGTAATCTGTTCTTGCTAGATCTAATGCAGATGTTGGTCAGATGTGCAACTGCTGTGTCATATCAATAGCAGCAGTAGCAACATATCTACATCACACCAACAGAAGCAACAGAAAGATAATAGCTGTCCTGCTCCTAGTTGTTGATAGGCAATATTTTCAGACATTATGGTTGGTATCCAGTTGGGTTATAGTTCATCCCAGAATATTACTGAAGGCACAAATAACAACAGGTTGAACTTTCCCCCTCAGATACAGTAATACCATGACAAATACAATCAAATAGTTTGGTTTGTCTCATAGCCAGTTAATCTACTGTTTAATCTTGTATATTTTAAAATGGGAAATAACAGGCTACGTTACCATGTATAGTTCAAAAGTTAATCCTCTTAGTGATCCTTTTCAGATGAAATGAAAGCACTGACAGTGAGAACTTTATTTGATGCGGTTGAGTGGAGTTTTACAATATAAAAAGTGACCACTGTAAAAGGAAAAACCACTCTATTGAATCTTTCCAATTTTTTGAAGCATGGTTTTAACATCTTCAAAATGGGAAACCATTCACAGCCAAAATACTTGAGTTCACTGAATATGTAATCCACAAAGTAGGGATGTCCCGATCACCTTTTTTTGCTCCCGATCCGATTCCGATCATTTGATTTTGACAATCTGCCGATACCGATTTTTCCCGATCCGATCTTTATGCAATGCATTAAGAGGAAAAAAAAGGTAACAGATAACGGCTGGTCATCCAACGCGATGAATTCAGCTATCTTGGCTGTTCTGGGGTAGTTTCTCTTTCCTTTTAAAAGTCTCTGAAAGTGTCGGTTGTTTCAGTGCCGTTACCTGAGTGGCCGCTGTGTACTCGTCGTGTTGTTGTTGGTGGTGTTTGTATTAGATTGGTCATGTTGAACGTAGCTCTGTTCTTTCCACCACGCGGAACCTCCGCCTTGCAAACATTGCATCTGGCTGTTACACTGCCTTCGCTTTCAATTTTATAATACTTCCAAACTCCTGACATTTTCTCTGTCCCGACTCCCGAGTCACCAGCTGAACGTAGCCTCTTGTTAGCTTACTGCTACTATTATGGCGCGTTTCCACTACAGCCCGCAGCCCGGTTTAAGAGGGCTGTGACGTCAGCGGCCCGTCTTTGGTTGCGTTTCCACTTGGCCTAGTACCGGCCGGCGGGTCCTAATTCACAGTTTTTCTGGCCTCATAAAATCGTGGGTCCAGGGCCAGAGACAACGAGGCTGAGTCGGGCTGAGTATGCTAAACTAGAGAGAGCGTCGCTGGCAAGGGGGCAACAACTACAACAAGATGGACATATTTGACCGTGATTTAATTGTAATACACGTTTCAAAATGATGCCGAAGTAACAACATACTGATACCGGTTAGTAAAAACCATGAATTAATGCTTTGTCAAGTCTGCAGACAGACGGCAGGGGAAAAACCTTTTAAAATGCTTGTTTTCTAAATGGAGATTGGCTAAGCTAACGCAGTATATGCCCCGACCGTCCACACTCACAACAACGGCCTATACAGACATAAATAAAGCAGCGACTGTATTCGCCATGACACAGGCAGTCTGTGGTGTGTACTTGTTTAACTTTTGTCTAGTTTCTGAACATATATGAGGAGCTGTGAGCTCTGAGTGCTAACAGCTAACGGCTGTGTTGTTTTTCTGGGGTCCTCTGAAGATCACGTCACGGCTCCGCCTACACTGCGTTACTATAGATACTGCCCCAGTTCCTAAACTGTAATGGAAATGCGCCATAAAGTGAGCCAGTCCTAACGAGGCCCAGCCATACCGAGCGGGGCCGAGCGAGGCCGTGTAGTGGAAATGCGGCATAAGACACTGCGCCCACTCTGTTGCCAGATTTGAGAGAAATAAGCAACCAGGTCTATGAAAACAAGCCCAAAAGAAGCAACACATACATGATGTTGTGTAATTTTAACCCAAAACTAAGGCCTCAGGATGACTTTAAGACGTGAACATGGTCATTTTTGTTTTGTAACATTAAATAAAATGTATAAAAATATTTTATAAAAAAAAAAAAAAAAAATCCGATCCCCGATTTTTTTCTCCCGATCCCCGATCACGTGAAAATCACGTGATCGGCTCCGATCCCCGATCACGTGAAAATCACGTGATCGGCTCCGATCCCCGATCACGTGATCGGATCGGGACATCCCTACCACAAAGCTATACATAACAGGAAGAGTTGTTTGCCACATACTTCATCAAGAGCAAATAGTATAGACTGGATCCAAAACATTAGTGTCCAAACGCTGATGAATCCTGAAAGAAATAGTTTGAATTTAAGTGTGTGTGTGTGTGTGTGTGTGTGTGTGTGTGTGTGTGTGTGTGTGTGTGTGTGTGTGTGTGTGTGTGTGTGTGTGTGTGTGTGTGTGTGTGTGTGTGTGTGTGTGTGTGTGTGTGTATGTGTGTGATCATGGCAAAAGGTGCTACTGGAGACGCAAGCAGGAAGTACACAAAATCTATTTTGAGAAATTTGCCAGGACTTAGTCACAGCGATTGTAACTACTGTATTTATTATACAGACATGAAACTCTACAGGTGTGTAGTTGATATCATATCAATTGTCTCTAGTTAAAATGAATGCGAATTCTGTGGCGTTTTGGCCGCTGCAATGAGAGTAGTCTGTACTTTCAATGATCATGGAAAAAGTAATATTTCAAGCAACACACTCAACATCATTGCACATTTAACATTTATATTTACATCCTTTGCGACAGTGTTGTGTCTGCGCGGAGAGTCTGACTCAGTGCTTTTCCTGTGTACGGAGGGAGGACAAAAGAAGCAAATGAGAAGCAAGCAGTGCGTAGCAGTGTGTCTGCTGCCACCTCATCTAGTGAGCATCCAGCCACATTGATCATCCATCATTATTTATGAATGTTTGGCCTGCCACCTACTCCAGGGGCAGCTGTATCCTGTTTCCCTATTCACACTGTGTGTAAGTGTTCAGTTATTATATATGCAAAGGGTCTTGGCAGTATTGAAGCTTATTCCAGTTGTAAATTCCTAGAAATGTCCTCAAACGTACGTTGATTTAATGGCTGAGATGATAAATAGTGGAGATGAGTGTACTGTACATTTCTGGTCTCTAGTGGCTTTTCCTCCTCGTTTATGTTCTATATTAGGAAACTTGGACTGTATTCTCATACCGAGAACACCCATTTCAAAGTCACATACTTTTTGCTGCACTGGTGACGCCGTGACGGATAAAAGTTGTTTGGGTCACCCTATTCTTTGACTTTTCCTCTAGCATCAAAGACAGGGTGGGGAAAAAAGTAATCTTGTATGCTTCCTATTGAAATGTCTCGACAGCTATAACATGGCCTGCTGGCATTTGGGCATTTTTACCAAAAATATGTTGTTCAGCACTGCATCCATCCATACAGGGTAGACTAGAATAGTTAACAAAATCATGTTTCACTCCTATACCTGTACAGATGGCTTTCATTTCCCATATTAGAAAAAACCCCCGAATCAAAACAGTAGTTGAAAGGTTTAATAGAACTATGTTTGAAGTTGAATTGAACGTTATTTCAATAGAGCAACACGTATGTTTCTGTCTTCATCAAGTATGTTTCTGTCTCAGAGTGCCACACAGGAAAATGTAGCCACATTGAACAATGACAGGAACAGAACAATGTTTTGGCAGCATTCAAGTAGTGGTAACATTACAGAATCGGCATAGTTAAAAGCATATATATTATATCACAATCCAAATCTGTATCAGCAACAGGATGTGATTCTGAACTGTTTCTCAACCCTTTTGCAGCGTCCTTTTTTGAAAGAGCTGTTTTTGCGGTGGTGTAGGGGTGTGGGTAGGGGTGTGGTCAGTCCAAGTTCCTCAGTTTACCACTTGCCACAATCTGAAGCCTGTTTCATCGCGTACCAGAGAGCAGCTTTCTAACCCACATGCTCTGCAGCCTTGGCATGCCGTACGTTGTGTGGGATCCAAATTAGACCAGTATGGTAGAGCAAGAAATGCCGACCCCTCCACAAATGATCCACCCTCAGATTTAGAAGTGTTTTCCAGACAAAGAGTGTCTTTGTCAGAGTTGATAGCTGGTGTTTATGCCCAGCCTACAGACCACTTTGGAATTGAAGAGCTCATAACAATGTGATAAATCAATCTTTATTTTTCAAACTCTAGAAAGTCAGACATGTTTTTTTACTGAAGCAGCACATGTACTTGCTTTACACGGCTGTATTCTTACAATTGAACACAGTTCCATCCCACCCGCAAACCGCAAACACACATGGTCCCAGGTTAAATCACATTTCAATCCACTGTTTGGAGAACAAAGTGCAGACACCTGCATTTCGAACAAAAACGGTTCAGGGTTTACCCTTATTCAAGGCTCAGTGTTCTCAAAGCCATATGTTGGATAACTCTTCCTCCTCCTCCTCCTCCTCATGGTCCATTCTCCCTTTCGTACTGTGTGTTCTTCAGGAGTAAGAAAAGAGTCTGGAAAAAGTGTGAGAGGAGAATAACATGCCATGGCTGAGACTCTGTCCCTCTCTTCCTCTTTGCATGAGAAAGAGTGAAAGAGTTGACGGCGCATACAGCACAGCGGTTGGCAGCCTGCAGTACTTCCTCATCCTGAGTCGTTGCTTCTGAACCTTAGTTTTCTCCTTCAGAATCTCTGCATAGAGCTCAGCAGAGGACGAATATTGTGGTGTGTTGTTGTGCTTCGGGGCATGCATGCAGAGGGCCGGCTCTAGGACAGCGTCTAGTACAGAACACGTGAGTGAACTGCACCACTATTACAATAGCCTTTTCTCTGACACCAATCTGTCATCACACTCCTTCTCAATGCTACACTAGGAGCTTAACTAAGCTCTTTGAAAATATTGATGTTTGTTTATCTTCAGACATTGTTTTACTGCGTTGAAGAGAGAAGGGAGTTTGTTTTGGATAGAAAATGAATTTAATGAATAGAAAAGTTTGAAATAGGTAAAGCTGAAGTAATTTGTTATGACTAAGTATGAAGTACGTGACTCAGAACATCTACTGGTGCTGTATTTTTGCCAGGTTTCTCACATTTCTGTCAACCACTGACAATAAAAAGAATAGGAAATGTGGCTAGGGCTAAACCTTGCACCTGTGAAGTATTTTAGGCAGGAGAACTATTCCTCCAAGGTTTTACAACCATGGCTAACCAGAGGTAGCTGTTTTTAGCTTTATGTTATATTACTGTACATTATAACAAGGCTAAGGTTGACCTCTTTAAAGCTGCCCAATGAGCCATGCAGGGAAGAACACATGAGAGGATGTGATGACGACGCACAGTGACATTCAACCCTCTTATATCCTTGTTTCGTTATTATTATTTTAAAGTACAGTCAGATGTAGATGCTTAATAGTTGAATCACTCACAGTGTTGCTTATGGTGGTCAGGAATTTGGAATATCATTTTTCACACATTTTACCGCCCATGGTATAAAGAAATAGCTTCAAACTTTGTTTTGTTGTGCTTTATTGTGTGTTGCATTGCTTGCATCTTTCTAATGTTATTCTTGGTGGACATACTACAGTTTATTGATTGTAGTTAAGCGTTCACAGTCACACCTGAATTCACTTGGGCCTTATTAAATACCACCACAGACACTTCTTTGCATGTCTGCAGTTTCCCCTCTGATCATTGATTCTATTTTAAAGATATCTCGCTAAACGGCACTGAGAGGATGTTCCTTTTCATACACACTATCGAGTGATGGGAGGTAGCTTTCCCCCCCGAATCCACACTGCATGAATTATTGAAGAGTAGTTTGCATGGCCTGTCCTGCACTGTACCAGGCATACCAGTAATGTCAGAGAACGCTCAGGACCGGACAGCTTAGATTTCCCTGAGTTTTCTAAAGCCAATTGTGGTTGTGGCGACTGTGAAGAAGCTAAGTCATGTATACCTACAAGAGGGTATTTCCTCTGTTACTGTAACACAGTGACAGAGTCAGTACTTTGGATTTTTTTCTTGTGTTAAATACTAGTAATATTAGTGAAATACTAATACCACAGCGTAGGAAGTAACATGATTATTGATCTTCTTTGTGTGATAAAAGCATACATGTATTTACTTAATCAGGTTTGTATTTGATCACAAGAGAGAGAGATTGTTTCACCCAGGGCCAAAATGATCTTGACCTCAGTGTTCTCTCCTTATCGCCTTTCAGCAGTCCAGTCAAACATCAACTGTCAGAAATAAGTGGAGAAAGTCCTCCACCACTCTGTTCCTTGTTCAGCCTTTACATTCATCTTCCTGGTTTTGGAAGCAATATAATTAGGGCACATGACAACCCATTACTTATGACTGTGGTGACCACAAGTTATATTTGGTTTTCTAATTTAAAGCAAAATCCACATTTATCTTCTTGCCAGCCTTGTTCAAAACCACAATATCATCAACATCCATGTTTGTTTTGTCAGACCATGCAAGCTGTAGGCTAGTCCTATTCGTTAGCCGGCCCCCTTTCCTACTCTGGGCCCAGTGTTCAGTTGCTATGTGTTGCTATGTGTTGTTATTAGTTGCTATGTGTCGCTATTTTGTTTGTATCTATGTGTAGATATGTTTTTCACTTTATGGGATCTGCCAAGCTCTGTCAATAGTTTCTCAGTGCTACTGAGCTATTCAAACACATTTCAATTAAGTTATATGTATGGCTGCGTGGCATGAGAAAATAAATATAAATTCTATATTATAAACAACATGTATTCAGTTCTTCTTCGACTTTCATGATACTGCTTAAATACAACAAAAGGCTTGCTGAATTAAAACATTGAATTGAACATAAAAGGTATCATTACAAAATAATTACATTTGTAAAGGGCAGTTGACTACTGATACTGTGTTTCAACTAACTCATGAAATCTGAGTGCTATGTCGCAGTTAACATTGTGCTGACAATTTAAAACAATGATGTAGTGTGCAGCCCTTTTCCATGCAAATTAGAATCAATGCAAACATAGTCAGGAAGCTGGTGGTAACTGAAGCGTATTTATATCGGGTGAATGCTCACACTCTTTATTTTAGGATGCAATAAATGTTATGTTATGGAAAATAAATAAATGAAGTTCCTCTATACGTGGTCTAGGAAAATAAATGAGAACATTAGGTTACATCCAAGTGGCATACACTTCCCTTTCCTGTCTTAGTTGCCTCATCGGAGGCGGAGGTGCACTCCTGACAACACTTCTGACTCAGGCTGCCTCTTAACCCTCTGATCTATGAATCACCCTCAATAAGTACATGTTTCACAATGCGAAAATATGAAACTCATACATGCATTTTTGCATTATCTTTTGTGCATCAGACCTTGAGACATATATCTGTTACAAGAGATTAATAATTGATGTTGCTATGTGCGGCTGCAATTCATTCTTTGTAAATGTTCCCTAATTTTAGAATAAAACCCCCTGTCTGTCTCTCAAAGACATTTTGGTTTCTAACTAGGACATTGCAAAGTAAGTGGGACACAGTTCTGGCTCCTGAGGATCATGTCTCTGTAGAGGAATATATAGAGGTCATATTTGCAGAATTGAGTCTCGCAGTGGTCCACAGAACGGAAAAGCAAAGTAGATCAGACTAAACATATAAAGACTTTTACTTTATAGAAGGTTTGCATTTTTAAGGTCTGGGTTTACGTTTAATGTTTGTTTGTTACTCAGTTCCCTTTCATTTCAAAAATGAAATCAATATAACATCCACTGAGACATCCTCAATTTGGCCTCACTTCCTCATTTGGCCTTTCCCGAGATTAGAGCAGGCTGAGAGCATAGCAGTAAGTGGTGCTGCAGCTTTGTAAACTGATCTAGAGATGTAGGACATCCCATGAGGTGCTAGCCCAGCAGGCAGGCAGGAGATAGTCACAGGATCTCGCCTGCAGAGGTCTTAGTGTCATATGATGTTACAACATGTTCTCATGTGGGCAACAAACAAACTGTGTTCTCTATCAGATACGTCTCTAAGCAACCACAAACATTCTTTGATCAAATATATACGTAAAATGTACAAAATTAGAAGTTCTCTGTTTGGAACAACATGATCTGCACCAAATGAGGAGTTTCTATTATGTCTGTTGAATACTGTTTGGAGCACCATCAATACTTCATTTAGATATTTTACTTTGCTTACTGTGATTTGGATTTTCGACTAGCCCATATTGCCATTTTGATACCATTTTGATTAATTATAACATTATTTGTAGCACCGCCAACAATTGGTGTACACAGGTTTGTATTGTAGCATCAAATGACCTGCTCTCTGTTGTTCCGCTACACATTCAACATTTCAGTCACTGCAGCAAATACAAAAAGAATACAGTTTGGAGCACATGGGGAAACTGTCTTCCCTTACAGCCATGCACAGGGTTCACTCAATGTGGTGCTTGCAGAGACGAGAGGCTATCCCCATTAGCAGCCCTGTGCCGGGAGACTGACGATCAGGTTACCCCCTCCCTGATCAATGACTCAGCAAGTCATCTGGGATTCACAGAGCTCTTTACCAGTACTCACTCTCCTTGGTTAAGTGCCCTTCTACCTCCTTCCATTTCCTACAGTTTCTCTTTGCCCATTTCCTTTCTGCACATCTAATGCACACCTTCTAACAGCCTTTGTGACCACATCCTGCTGAAGCTGGACAAATTAAGCCATTACTGTTCTGCTTTTTAACCATATTCCTTACAGAAGAATGACTGTGGTTATGGTTGTAGTCACGTACTACTTGATCTGTGGAGATAGTGTTGGACTGTGCTGCTGAACAAATCGGGAGATAAGAGATGTTGTTCTCTCTCCTCCCTCCAGCAGGAAGTGGTTTAATGCCGTTGCTACTGGAATGACCTTAGCTTCCCTCAGAGGCAACGCTTGGCTGGTTTATTTTGGAACAGCCACAGCATACCACTAGGCAGTGCTAACATGGCTTCCTATTCACATAAAGCACTGCCTGTTATTCTGGGCTCCATCTTACATATTATGTTTTAGAGCTTCAGGAAGCAAGTTTTGATTCTGATCTATAGCCAGTGTATTATTCAAATCATGTTTTGCTCAAAAATATATTACATGATATCTGTAGTTTATATATTCTTCTGCAGCTGTGGTATTGCTCTTAAGCTCTATTCAACATGTATATTTTACACTCTTTGTGTTAATGTTTGGAACTAGCTTTCCTATCTTAGTCTGCCACACCATTGTAAAAGAGATCATTTCATTAAACACTTTCTTTAATTTATTTATGATATTATTGGCGCCTACTTAAAGATTTTTATATGTTCACTGACTTTCTTTATAACACTGCTTCTTATTTTTTTACAATGGATGTGTAGATACTTGTTGATTTACTTGTATTAACGTGTGCTTGCCTCTTTATTTATTATCTTAGTCTACTAGCAGTGTGCCTGCACATTTCCCTGCTGAGGGGACTAATAAAATGCTTCTGTGGCATAAACAGGGTTGGATAATGTGGTGCTTAAAGAAAGCAACCTTCAATGAGACAATACCAAGCATCAACTATACGTAAATACTTGAGGATGAAATGTAAAAGTTTGTTTGTCAACATTTTCCTCTGTTCTCTGGACAGGTGTGGTTAGCTGAAACGCAGCCATGATTAAATCGGGCGCCACCAAGGTGGGGCTGCCCAAGTCTGGACTCCAGGAGCGGACCAAGCAGAACTCCTTTGCTTCATCCTCCTCCACCACCACCTCCACAGCCATGAAGACCTCCAGATCGTCCAACACACTGGTCTCAGACCAGCGCCTCAGTAGGGTGAGTCACAAACACAACACAATCCTACACATAATATGTTGCATTGTTGGAGGAGCTCGGGACCTAAGATTTTCATTGCCATAACTACACTGTAGCTACTGTGCACATGATAATACAACCTTTGAATCTTGAATCCAGAGTTCACCTCCTGTTCTAAAGCATAGGTGCAGCCAGAGGTGGAGGAAGTACTCTGATCTTTTACTGAAGAAAAAGTGTTCCAAGTCAGAGTTATCATATGTTCCAAGTCAAAGTTCTGTATTTAGTACAAATGTATCTGCATCTAAATATACCATACAGTAACAACCAAAAGAAAAACTAGTGATAAATGAATGTGTCTGTGACAGGTAGTGAAGATGGAATTACTTTATATACTGCTGCTGGATGTGTTACCAAAAAACAATGGGTCAATGTTTATTAATTAGTTTAGTATATGTTGTATAAGCTAATAATCTGAAGCTATATACATATAGTAATTAAAGCTGTCAAATAAATGTGGTAGAGTAAAAGGTACAGTCTCGGTTTCCAAATGTAGTGGAATAGTAGTATAAAAAGCACACGTTGAAAATACTCAGGTAAATTCAAGTAACTTTAAAATTGTACTTAAGTACAGTACTTGAGTATGTATTTTATTGTAATCCGCCAAGATGCAGCACAAAGCCGTTTTGGATAACACCTCAGCAGTATGAATGCAAATGAAATGTAGGGAACATAACTTATTGAACTTACTATCTGCCCCACCATTTTGTATGATAATAATAATGGTCCAAAATGATGTCGTAATGCACTTTTTCAATTGAAAAATGAAAATGATACAAACTTGTTCTAAAAAAAACCTGTAATCTACCATAAAGGCACATGCTCATATCTTCACATAATGAATGAAGCAAATTGAATAGCTATTAAACATAATGTTAACATTAGTAGAGCTATATGGTTGATACTTAGAGGCTGTGCTGTTTGTGTCTCCAGATGAAAAGAGCCAGCAGTGACGATGCCTTGACGAAGCCGGCACTGGGAGCGGCCTCTGGCTCCAGGATGAAAAAGACTGTAACCACTGGAGCCATCTCAGATCTGCTGGAGGTCCGCCCTCGCAGCCTGTCAGGTAGGGGACTTCCTGTCTTATCAGATATCTTTAATGACCTCATTTTAGAGACTTGGTTTGATGTAAAAATGCCAAAAATCGGGAAGAGTGCTGCAATGCTCACACATTATGGATGTGACTCGTATCTGTGTCAGAGTTAGGAGATTATTATGGTTAACACTGCAGTATGAAAGTAATGCAACTGGCCACTAGAGGGCCACAGTTCACCATTAGACAGGTGGTAAATTTAGAGATTTTCCTCTTTCCCCTTTTTTTCCTTTTCTCTTGATTTGGTTGGCATTGATGAGATGCAGGTGGCTGAAGAGGACTAAGGTTCTCTGGGTTTTGGTCCAAAACTAAGAGACTGGAGGCATTCATGGTCTACTCCTCTCAAAACAACAGCTCAGCCACCCGATTAACACGCTATGTTTTTTATTACAAATGAGGAAAATGTACTTCTTTCTCTCCAAAAAGAGAAAAATTATGTTTTTTTTTTGGCTGGCCTTTTGGTGTTATTTTGCTTTATTCGGTGCTAGCCTTAAGCATTATGTAACATTTTCAAATGAGACGAGATTAGTGAGAATTCAATTTTTGTAATACTGTAGAGATGTAATTATGGGCAGTATTTCACAAGCCTATTTCTCAAGTAATGGCCGTATATATCCACATTTGAAAAGCAGCATTAAAATACAGTTACCATCTAAAGACGTGACGTCCACAATATCTTACCCATCACCCTCCAGCCCCCTTCCTGCTTAACACACGTGTATAAATGAACATTTATGGTATATTTTGAGATAATTTTCTTCAAAATATGGATGAAATATATCACATCCAGTGGTGAAATTATTTTCCAATTATTGCAATATTAGTCTCTATTAGTCAATATTAGGCTAACTGCGAAGTTGTAACAAGAATAACTTCAGCAACATCTCAAACAACATTAAACAGGCATACAGATATTTTATGGCTCTCGTGTTGCATGAGAAGACCAGAAGAAGGGTGTAAATAACTGACAGACTTGATGACTACGGCTTCTGCGTTGAACACATTGCTGTTGTTGTTTGGTCCATGCCATCCATGTACCGGTACATCTTTTATGAGTGAATCACACATTATCTTATTAACTCGCCACGTCACTGTACATTATTAATAGGATGCTTTATAAGCCTAAACACTTTTAAGTTGTTTTATTATCTGTTGAATGATGTTGGTATTGTACTTTGTATTAGCTAGGTGTGCCACTGGATAAACAGAGCAACTACAAATAGAGCTGATGGAAAAACATGTATTACATATAAGACTAATGTGGCTGTAGGTAATGACAGGGATTTGTTTGCAGTAATTAATGTTGTTCCCAACATGAGGGAGGTGGCTGTGTTTGCTTTTGGTGTCCAAACCACAGTTTGATGTGCACTAGTGAGAATTCTCCTTCAAAGGCTTGTGCTGTTGTGCTAAAGCAAAGATAATTGAATTCTACTTAACAAAGCCTCCAGTGGAGCTGAGAAACCGAGGCCAAGTGAGGCTCTGGGTCTTTCAAACACAATTAGGCTGTGGGTCCGTCCAGCTTTCAGTGAATTGGACTCTAATTACCCAAAGTTTGTCTTGTCCTCCTTAGCTGTTTTCACACCCAAGGACAAAACCAGATTCCCACTTGGTCTTCCCATATTACTCTTTGCTAGCCCCTTCATGGTCGTCAACCAAAGTTGAGGATAGGAATATTGTTAAATAATCTAATAATAATTAATAATTTAATTTGTATTAAAGTTGCAATTAACAACTTTCCAACTGTTGGTGTTTGATATTCATATGAACAAGCAGGACAATCTACATGTTCATATCGTATGCAAAATGTCTACCGCACAAACTGGCTATTGTAAGTAAGAAACAATCATAAAGATCACAATTTGAAGTAGAAACCCTGATCTCAGTGCTATGATAAAGGCAGACTGAAAGAAACACCTGGTAGTTTTAATACACAGGCAGGTTTGGTAAATGATGTAATGTTTTTTTAATATCTTTACCTCTTTGCCTCCTTTGTCAACAGGTCCTTTGCAAGGTAGTTTTTACAGTTAATTTCCCTTCTAGGGCGCTTGTGTCTCAGGCTTCTTTTAGAGCAGAAGGGACTAGCAGTAAAAGGCCATCCATGACTATGTGGGAGGAAATAAAATGTCTCCTGACTTTGTTCAGACTATAGAGTCTCTCTATGCTATTATTTTGTTACCTTCATAAGTATAGGCATACAGTAACTCAAGCTTTATCTGCTTCCTTTGTGTGCTCTAAGTGTAACCTTCATTTTCCTGGGAGACCATACCCTATCATAGATCAAATTGCATAGTGAAAGCGGAGCCTACAAACGTCAGTGGTGTCATTATTCTACATTTTACAATCAACATTTACTTTATAATGATCAGTTAAAGCAAAAGACATAGTCTATTGCCACTGTAAAGAAACTCATCTCTAAAGTAGAACAGAGTTGCTGTTATCATATTGATGATTTAAAATCCTCAAGCATGTAGAACTTCAAATAATTTTCCCGTAGGGGAAGCTGTTTTGTTCTGCACCTGCCACCTGTGCTGCGCTCTACATCAGTGCACGTCAAGAAGTATAACGACAGACAATGAATGGATACGTCTAACAGGTCTCAAAAATCTAAATAATCAGCAAGTGGAAAATCCTATCTGACACCTGAAAGAGCAGCAATGGTTAATCATGCATGCCGGCGGTGACAATCATCATTTAGCCTCCTATCATTTCTAAGCCACTGAGCATGAGAGTTCTGCTGAAATGTCCACAGAGAGGAAATGCCATGATTTGAATATAGATTGGGGTGATGATCTGTGGTATTTTAAACTCATTGAAGTTTTTATCTGAAAGTGTTTATATTTATTGATGTAGAAGGGAAAGTGTCTGAAGTAAAATCTGTTTTGGGTAAAGAGAAAATTCCCCGAAATCTGATTTGCATCATGGCATTTGGGCAAAATGCATATTCTCAAATACTGAGATTTCTTGTGTGATTGTCGAACCTCAGATTGAGGAGGAACAATGCGGATTCCGTCCTGGTCGTGGAACGACGGATCAGCTTTTTACTCTCGCAAGGATCCTGGAGGGGGCCTGGGAGTACGCTTATCCGGTCTACATGTGTTTTGTAGATTTGGAGAAGGCGTATGACCGGGTTCCCAGGGAGTTACTCTGGGAGGTGCTGCAGGAGTATGGGGTGGGGGGCCTCTACTCAGGGCCATCCAATCTCTGTACTCCCAAAGCGAGAGCTGTGTCCGGGTCCTCGGCAGTAAGTCGGACCCATTTCCGGTGAGGGTTGGCCTCCGCCAGGGCTGCGCTTTGTCACCAATCCTGTTTGTAATATACATGGATAGGATTTCAAGGCGTAGTCGGGGGGGAGGGGGTCTGCAGTTTGGTGGACTAAGGATTGCACCACTGCTTTTTGCAGATGATGTGGTTCTAATGGCTTCATCGGTCTGCGACCTTCAGCACTCACTGGATCGGTTCGCAACCGAGTGTGAAGCGGCAGGGATGAGGATCAGCACCTCCAAATCTGAGGCCATGGTTCTCAGCAGGAAACCGATGGACTGTCCACTCCAAGTAGGGAATGAGTCCTTACCCCAAGTGAAGGAGTTCAAGTATCTCGGGGTCTTGTTCTCGAGTGAGGGAACAATGGAGCGTGAGATGGGCCGGAGAATCGGAGCAGCGGGAGCGGTACTGCAGTCGCTTTACCGCACCGTTGTGACGAAAAGAGAGCTGAGCCAGAAGGCAAAGCTCTCTGTCTACCGGGCCATTTTCGTTCCTACCCTCACCTATGGTCATGAAGGATGGGTCATGACCGAAAGAACGAGATCGCGGATACAAGCGGCCGAGATGGGTTTTCTCCGCAGGGTGGCGGGCGTCTCCCTTAGGGATAAGGTGAGAAGTTCAGTCATCCGGGAGGGACTCGGAGTTGAACCACTCCTCCTTCGTGTCGAAAGGAGCCAGTTGAGGTGGTTCGGGCACCTAGTAAGGATGCCACCTGGGCGCCTCCCTAGAGAGGTGTTCCAGGCACGTCCAGCTGGGAGGAGACCGAGGGGTAGACCTAGGACCAGGTGGAGGGATTATATATCTTCGCTGGCCTGGGAGCGCCTTGGGATCCCCCAGTCAGAGCTGGTTGATGTGGCCAGGGAAAGGAAAGTTTGGGGCTCTCTGCTGGAACTGCTACCTCCGCGACCCGACCACGGATCAGCGGGAGAAGATGGATGGATGGATGTTGTCGTTATCATCAGTGTGGTCAGGTTTGTCTTAAACAAATGGGTTTCCCCCCCTTGTTGATATGTGACATTACTCTCATTTAAAAAGCAGTTGGGGCTTATTGGTCTCTCTAGCTACCTTTACATGATCGGGGAAAACGACTCTGTGCCATTCATTTCATTTCATTTCAAACCTTTATTTAACCAGATGGTCCCATTGAGATCATAGATCTCTTTTTCAAGGGAGACCTGCTTTCCTAAAAAGAGAGCCGTGCCCTTGGTGTGGCATATTACTCCAAATTGCCACTGAATGCTGTCCTTTGACCCTGGTTACCACTGTCCTTTCAGAGATAACAGTTGGATTTGACATAGCTATTTTTTCATGATATAAACCTGTGCAGCACTATTCATCTCATTGGCCGTATTCACTATGCTCTGCGCCCTGCCTGGTGGTGAGCTCAGAGAAAATCACGTGATGGCAGATTAAGGCCCACTGCAGCAGAACTCTCATATCCCTCAAGAAGTAATTGAGTTTTTCTCAGAGACCATTCCAGTTCATTTTGTGACTAGGCTGTGGACAGATGACAAGACCCTCCCTGAGTGGTAAAAACCTATTTTAACTTAAGGTAAATGTAAAGAGTATTAAGCGTTGTACTTTCATTTGCTGCTCGCAAATGATGCGTCTCTATTTGGTAACAGTTCGTCATCTTGTGTCAAAGTGTTATTGTACCCTCATCCCTACTGAAAATTATGCAAATCAATTGTAGGAATGAGGTCGGCAGTAGA